TGAGGAGGAGAAACAAAAGAGTTATAAATAAAAAAAGGTAGAAGTTTTCTTTAGCCTCGGAGTCTTGTGAAAAGTAAGTAGCCCAGAATATCGTCGACCACTTGCTTTATCGAAATTAATACTTTTTTTGTCGGGAAACGACTACTGAATCCATCTTGAGATCCGCGTCACTACAGCTGGATTCAGCTTGCATAGGGAAAACGTGCATTAACCGCTAACTGACAGCGGCATCATTTTTACAAAGCACATGTTTTACAATGATTGTGATATTTTTTGCATATATGCAAGTGCAAAAACGCATATTGGGAAGGTGCTCTCTGTGTGTGTCTGTGTGTTCACACTTTTTGTCACCCACTTTCAACTCGAGAACCAGGAAAGCTACAGAGCTGAAACTTTGGGAGTATGTGCCCACCGTTTGTTCGACCTTCATTTTCATTATTGTCTTCTTAATATGCCTGGGTCCCACGTACGAACGCTTCAAAAAATATGCAATTTTTCGGCGGGAAAGTTATTTCTGGGACCAGACAAGATAGAAAGCTAGAACTTTGCAGGGATATTCTCCGTGCATGTGTAAGCTGAATTTTTTAAATTCACTTCCTAGATGCTCGTGGTTTTTACACACAGACACGCGAAGAATTTGGCAGGGAAATTACTAACTCTGTAAGCAGAAGAGCTGGAAGGCTGAAATTTCAAAGGGATGTTCCTACTCCACGTACAATTTAAAGATTTCAAATTCAGCGGCGAGATGTTCGCGGTTCTCACATGCTGGCATGTGAAAATTTTAGCGGGAAAACTACTAACTCAGGAACCAGAAAAGCTGGAAAGCTGAAATTTTAGGGGAGTGTTCCCTGTCCGAGTATAATTTAAATATTTCAGACTCAGCCTTCAGGGATGCATGGCTCCCACGTATAGGTTGAAAGTTTTGGCGGAAAAATTGCTCACTGAATAACCAGGTCATATTCAAAGAACGACCATTAAACGGAAATTGTTCATTTTCTTTATGCAAAATTTGCGATGATTAACGCTAGCGAGCGCAAAAAATAGCTGTTAAACAACAATATTTATGCAATTAACGACCTAAGTACTTCAAGTCTGGCACAAAAATACATGATCGCACGGGCAAACCTGGTACATTCCAGCTTGAGTCCTCTTTATACAGTTTTTCGTGATATGCTAATGTGATTTTGTTTTCAATAGGCTTCTTCAAGAAATCCATTTTTCTCGCCAGTTTTTACTCTGAAAACGTTTCAGACCAATTTTTTGCAGCTTACGTGCGTCAAC